CAACAATTAAAGTACCTAGGACTTTGCTTTTTATTTGTCAAATTAATTTTTTATAATTAGCATTAAAGCACGATAAGACTAACTGTCATATGTATTTGCATCAGATCAGTCCAAAAATATTTGCCGATTATTAAGCTGACTTAATCTGTGTTTGTATAAGCGGGTGGAGTTGTTAGGAATATCGTGATTAGCTTAACTGTTGCATATATATATATATTTTAGGCTTACAATAAATTTATGTCAACCAGTCGCATTAATGTTTGGTGGACGACAACCAGAAGACAAAGAGACTTGGCTGATCTATCAAGAAGTAAAGCTGTTTTCGGTTTTAACTCAAGATGATATTTAATTAATTTTCGAGTTAGCCATTTTTGTCAATCATTTTTTTTCTCGGTTTACTCTGATATTGAAAATGCCACTTGCAGATCGAAAAAAATCTTAGGAATTCCAAAGAAGCTTTCGGTGATGTTCAGTTGTTCAAAATTTTTGAAAGAAAAGCTGCGATTTATTTCGCTAAGGTATACATGAAAATTTTACCAGTAGATATGATTTAAATAATTGTCACAGAATGGACTCAAATGTTTTGATATTCTAGCTTGTGAGAAGAGAAACATTAGGGTTGCGGAAATAGCTTAAGATCCAAAATGTGAATATACTTGAACACATGAACAGAAGAAAGATTCATTTACTAACCAGTTTGTTTTAGACAATTCAGTAAGACTGTCAAATGATCTTGTCCTTTCCTGGTAGCGAACTCAATTTGAATAAAGTGAACGTTCATCTCTATTCATGTATTATGTTCAGTTGAAATAAGTATTTCCAATATTGTTTTCATTTTCAGGACTGGTTAGATAGAGATGAAGAAACGAAGCTTTTAATCGAAAGGATCTTTGCTTTATCTCGTTTTGTCCTTGCTATTGGTGATACTGATTTGGATAAGGAGGTAGGATGTAGGAATTTCAGTTCAGGATATTACTTTTATATAGTGCACTTTCATTTCAGTTAATTTTTTTTT